TTATTTGGAAATTATTTTGAGGGTAATTTTCAGAAATGGTTGACAAAAACTATATTTTTTTTGTGTGGAATAGAAATCCATTTTGAAAAATCAGCCTGCAGCCACAAGGCTGAACAAGCCTTTATTAAACTGCTTTATTAGCTTTAGGCTTCAAATGTATCTTGATTTGATTTTTCCTTCTTAATGACTGTGCCAGGCTGCCAGTGCTAGCCATGTATTAGACCAAAATGAGAATTATTGCATTCTTTCTGGCATTGCATATGTTGAGCAGCTTGAGCTAGGTAGGTATAACTTTTAAGCTGCAATTAGAGATTTTCTTCACTTTTTGAAGCTATAAAATTCTTGATAGATGAACCCTGTCAATGGCTGTCATGTCTAATTGTTAATTAAAGTATACAATTATAGCCACAGGGCTGGAAAAGTCCTATTTTTGTCTGTAATATTGCGGCTCTAATATCATATAATTTCAGTAGGTATGAAATCTCGCAGCTTGAATGTCATAAATTTTTGTTCAATTGAAAAATCGCAGTTTGCACTTTGCAAATTGTCATTTCATAAAATTTTCAACTTGCGCAATACGCATTGCTTTACCATTCCCGCCAAAATATCTTGCAGAAAAAACATAAACATCGTAATGTAAACAAATCAACTAAACATTTTGTTGAAGATCGCACATAGGGTAAACGCGGTATATTCCGACATCGTAGGTAATTCTGTCACCTCTCCAGCTTTTCCTTTATATTAAGCTTTGTTTTAGTTCCATGCGTTCATTGATGGTTGAAATGGTGACGTCATACATTTGCGTGTCGAAATACTGCAAAAACACTAGGTCTTGGCCATCTAGTGGGAAAATATTGAGTTTTCATCGTTGCTGACGCGTAGTGAAGTGTTTTGAGAGTCATGTGAAGGCAACAGAACTTACGTAACGCATACGTTTTTTTATAGTTTTTCATTTCTCGATGCGTCCTTAATGTGTCGGAATATACCGCATTTACCCCAGTTGCGATCATGTCAAAGTGGTCAGACTGCATTAACACGTGATCAACTTACAGTAAAGACAAATTTTATTGTTGCAGTTTGCCTGTTTTAGGGTAAAATTAGAGATTTGGGGTAACACATGCTTGGACTTTCTAAATAAATTTGCGCCTCATAAATGGCTTTTCATGACTGAGATATGGAATTCACGGCTTGGTGAAATGGAATCACGGCTTGAAGAAATGGAATCACGGCTGGCAAATCCATAAAACCACGGCTCGAAAAATTCAGTCGCGGCTTGCCAAGTAGATATATTTCATGCCAGCATAGCCACAAGATTTTGTATAGCTATGTCAAAAATTTTTACTATTGAGCTGCAAGATTTACCTATTGCCCAATTTATTTTGCCTCCTGCCTATTGCCTAATTTATTTATTTCATAAGAAAAACAGCTACATATTGCTGCCGGCAATTTCCAAAAATTACCTATAAAATATTTGTAATCTGAAATTTCAGAAAATTCTGCCCAATATTCTAGATTGGATGAAAGTGCTGAAATTTGAACAAGCAGCCAAGCCAGCTATAGTAAACACACCATATTCCAACAGTGGGTAATTCCGATACCCCTCAACTTTTTCCTTTATATTGAGCTTGGTCTTAGTTCCACGCATGCGTAGCTGGTTGAAATAGTGACGTCATACTATTGCGCGCCAGATTTCCACAAAACACTATGTCTAGCGGGAAAATGTTAAGATCTGCAGAGTGAAAGTCCAAGTCAACTATTACTAGTGAGAACATCGAAACATGTATGAAAGTTGATAGTTGACCTTGCTTTACTAAATAGTGATAAACTGTTTGTGTAGAAAGAAGATTATGGTTTGAGACTTTTAAATAAGTCTGTGAATATATTAGGAATCCTTTAAGTATACTTGTATTTGCTGATTTTAAGTGGTAAATAAATTAATAGATGATTGATTTAAGAGACGGTTTTAGACACATAAAAACTAATTCCAACACTGTGTCTTAATTACGACACAGCCATGACACAGGGTGTCGTATTCCGACACAGCTCACACAGGGTGTTGGAATTCCAACACAGGGTGTTGGAATTAGGAATTACAATTTTGAAGCACTGTCAGAATTAGTCTCACAATATGCCTCATTTAGTCACACACAGTGTTGGAATTCAGCAATTTTGTAGATTTAAATCCTAAAAGCTTTTAAATAAATATGGCAACAGTTTGTGATGTTTTATCATTGCTGGTGCGTAGTGTGGTGTTTTGAAAGTGACGTAAACCAATCAGAACTTGAGTCGCGCATACGGTGATCTATTAATAGCCATTTATTTCTTGCTACGTCCTTAAGGTGTCAGAATTTGGTGCATTTACCCCATGTGTCTCATTCACATTCACAAGTAGTTTCTGCCTGTTTTCCATTTCTGATGGATTGTAGACCCTCCAAACTTGCTGAAACTTTGGCCCTATTTTGCCCAAATTAAAAGTCTTACGAGTCTAAAAATTTAAAGTCCCCTTGAGTCTTGACTTGAAAAATAGAGCTATCCTGGAAATTTAAAAATAATATTGGTTTTGGATAACTGAAAGATGAAAAACTATGTCACAATGATCAATGTTGAAAATGAAGCACTAAACAATTGAATTCTACCAACTTCATAGTCAGGAAAATATGCCTGATGAATGGAAAATTATATTGTAATTTTGTCAATGTACAGGATTGCACTGCATCAAAATATGTTTTAATAGAATCTATTAAAAAATAAAATCTAAATTTGTGCTGCAGGATTGCAGCAAATGTTTACAACATTGTATAACTATGTACATACATGTATAAGTGATTGCTCATACTTTCATTGCTGCTGCTGCTTTGTCATCTGTTTTTCTCCTCAATCAAGACACTCCCACTAGGCTCCCATCATAAGGAACTCCTTCATCACCTGACCTCACCATTGTCAGAAGTTTCCCATCTGGCACTAGATGCTGTCTAGACTCTGCTGGCCTGCCTCAACTCCAACCACCTTCCCATCTCTGTCTCCGTAGTTTCCATGAACACCCCCAAAAAAAATGTCCTACTGGCACCTACATCAACTTCTGTCAAGCAGATTGGGATGCTTACACCACCAACACAGAGGCTGCTTTCAGCACTGCTGCTCCCCCTTCTTCCTGCTTCCAGGGAGAGAACCTCTTTAGAAGGATTCTCATCTTGGTGGCCAGTTGTCATATCCCTCTTGGTTGTTGGGAGGATTTCATTACCAACCTCCCACCCTTAGCCATCCCTCTCATTCAAGAGAGCAATAGGACTCGTGCCTTGAATCCTAACCACCCCAGCCTTCAGTACCCCAACAACAACATCTTAGCAGCCATTACCACACACTCCAACACTACCTGGATCAAGAAGGTCCAGTCAACCAACCCACAGAAAAACCCCTCAAATTTTTAGTTGCTCCTATGCTCCCTCTCCTGCAAGTCAAACAGACCAGCCCCTGACCAACCTATTTCCTTCAATAATTCCCCTGCCACTGCTGACCACATCATAGCCTCATCCTTCTGTGGCCAATTCACACTGGTTCCCCACTACCAACATGACCACTCCTGCAGGTTAACTTACAGGGGCATCAAGTCCTACAATCCCCTCTCACACACCTCCCCTGTTCACTCCAAATCTGACCAGATGGGCAGTGTGGAGCTTGAATACCTCCACTGCCGTTGGCCCAGACTCCCTCACTATCCTCCACCTCCATCACCTGGGTCCCAGAGGCATCCAGCACCTCACCCAACTATTTAATCTCTCCTTGCCAATGCTGAAATCCCTGCAATCTGTAATTTGGCCACAATCGTTGCCATTCCCAAGCCAGGCAAATCTCTGTCCATCAGCTCCTCACACCTGTTACTTTTGACCCACACTTCACTTTCTCTCCACACATTGTCACAATATGCCAGAGAGCATGCCTGTGACTCAACATCCTCAAATCTCCTGCGAAAACCAGCTGAAGGCAGAAGGAAACCCTCATTGTGACTTTCAAGGCCCTTATTAAGTCCCTCGTCACCTACGCTGCTCCAGTGTGGTTTCCTAACGCCTCTCCTTCAGCAATCTCTAAGTTGCAAACCATACAGAATTCTGTAATCTGCATAGCCATGGGTTTTCTTCAAATGGCATCCACTTCCCACCTGCACAGCAAAGCTGAGGTCTTACCCATAGCTGAACACCTCTCTCCTCTGCTCACAGTACCTTGCCAGCACCCTATGACCACATCATCCCTGCTACCCTATTGTCACACAGACAATAAGGCCCTGTTCCATGAAGCACATGCTTCAGTCCCACTTCTAGCCTTCAGTCTCTCATCTGCTGGAGGAGGGGTCCCTCCCCCTGATTTCTACTTCACTGCCCTCAGCACCCTGCACAGCTCATGTGTCTCCTCCTACCTGTCTTCAGCAACTCCCAGCAAGGTGTTGCTGATCTCTGCCCCCTCCTTGTACTTTGCCCTCATTGGAGCAGCAAACAGCCCTCTCTGCCTTGAGTGCTGCATAATGGATCACAACACTCATTACCTTCTCAGCTGCCCATCACACCCCCCACTGCCCATCACACCCCACTCTGGTCTAACCCTGGACTGACTGCGGCATTCCTTTTGTCACTTCCATCCTTCTCCAACATCCTTGGAGTGGACCTGCCACTCCCTCCTCCTCCTCCGGAGCCACTGCCCTCACAGGGGTGCCGCCAAGCAACAGACCCCGGCAATTAACAACAATGGCTATGTGACAATCATATCCAATAAATATATATGTCACATTTGCTGTGCAATGGTGCGGTCATATCCTTCCTAATGTGATTGTGCTATCATATCCTCCCCAGGGCTCATCCCTTTCCCAAAATGACCAAAATGACACCTTTTTTTGTATATGTACATATATAAATGGTGTATAGGTGTGTATAAACATAAATTCATACTGATGCCCAGATATGTATAATCACATATGAATACAAAAAGCATAGGTAATCTTCCATACAATATGTTACAACTTTTTTCTTGGATTTTTCAGGCTTCAATTTCCAAATTTGAACCTTTTGAGCAGGTTGTTGCTCCATCTATGTCCAAATTAAATTGTTGTTAGACTATATTAACTATGAGTAAATTGCTTGATTTGTCTGATGAACTTCTCCTGAAAATATTTTCACATCTTGATGCTGCTGATCTAATTGATGTTAAATTGTAAGTAATTCTAATTATTCCTCCTTCTTGGTCTATGACTATTTGGAATTTATGATCATATAACAGGATGTTATTGATGTTTCTTGCCCTGATAAGGAATTATTCATAGATATATATTTTTCATAAGGTGATATGTTTCATGAAAATTTAGGTTAAAAATAGGCGAAATTCTCAAAATTGTTTAGATTAGAATTGATAATGAAAAAAAAATCCTATGAAAACATGAATTATGCTAAGATTTTAATTTAGTTTTGAAATATTTTCCATTGAAATTTTAACACCCCTTGTTCATCAGAGCACAGCTATTTAGGATGGATTACCAATCAGAAATTCATTTTAAATACTTACTGCTGAAATCCTCATTTTTTATCATTGCAACATAAACACAATCGCTTAATTTCATCAAACTTCCATATGCAGCTACTATAATCTTGACCCATTCCTCTTGAAACTTTGACCAAATGTTTTCAACATTTTATGGTTTCATAGCATTCAAACCTGGATTCTATAGATTACCTACTTATGACCAATTTTGTCATAACCAATTATTTTGTTTCTGATAGTAATTACCAATTTATCCCTTTTTTTCTAAATACAGTTATCCAAGTTTGTATTCTTTGTTTTGTTGAATATCCAGCTTGAAACTATACATAGCTGACAAAAATAAGATCGTTTTCTCATCAGTTGCTTTTAATTTTCATCAAGGATTTTATTCTTCAATATCCAAATGAAACACCAGATGAGAAAACGGTGAGAGAGAATTGACACGCGTAATAAAATGAGGAATTTTTTATTAACTGATTTGCATGTGTGCAGGGTTTGTCAGCGGCTAAATCGTCTGTGGTGTGACCGCACACTTTGGCTGGAGGCTGACTTCAGCCAACGACGCTTCAACCGAGCCCAGCTCTGCAAGGTTCTGTCGCCGGTACTGAATTCAATTTCTTCATTTAGCATCAGGGGTTTGAGAAATACCAGCGGCATTCACAGCAGATCAAAACTCCTCACTCTACACACTCTAAGGCTGCTTGCTGAAAATGCTCCATTACTCAAGGAGTTCACTGTACGGGAGACTGTCATCTGTGCAAAGCAAATCACAGTCGAAAGCCTGTCCATTTTCAAAAACTTGCAGTGTCTTGCATTTATCAATTGTGAATTTGTTAATAAGCCCAAAACTATGACTGACAGGTCCTGGTTTCGGAAACTAGAGAAATGGTTACCACTTCTAACGAGCCTGCATATAAGTGGTACAACGTTCGTGGACGATTATGACATTATGGCTATGGGTAAATGCTCTAAACTCAGTAAGCTTATACTCACAAATTGTCCTAAAGTAGGAATAGCCATGCCTTATTTAGCCATAGCTTTCCGTTTTGGCCTTGGCCATTTAAAATACCTAGATTTTCGTGGTACAAGTCTTGTAAACAGTGATGTGCTGTCAATCCTTCAGAATGGTAACATTCAGGAGCTTTACTTGGGACCAATGGGCGCCGTCAAACGTCAGAGATTGTCCCCTGAAAACCGACATAATCTCATTATGGCTGACCCTCATCGAGAAGACCCTCCTCATCAACAGGTTCTTGTGGTCAACATGGGTCCTGATGGGCCAAACTGGCGGCAGGTGCGCGATGATGAATTGGATGGCTTAGGACTGCAGTGGGTCAGACAGCGAAATGAGGAGCGACAGAGAATGAGGGAAGAGCAGGAAGACGAGCATTACTTCATTGGTGAGAACGGTCATCTGTTGCAGCAGCAACCTTTGGCATCTATTGCAGAGGAAGCCTCAAGCTCGAAGTCATCGTCAGGTCTAAAGAGAAAAAACATGGACGATGGTGAGGTTGAAGGAAGACCTTCTAAAAGGGCACGAATCAATAGTGATGGCACTTGTGGAGACAGCAACCGCGCTGATGCAGATGATTCGGATGCTATCCCTGCCTCCGAGTTCCGACTTTCTCGTGACGTTCTCAGCTTAGGGTGTGTTCATGAACTTGCAAACAATTTCGAGCCTGACGACGGCTTATCTGACCAACTTATACCTAACCTGGTTAGTAAAGGAAGCAACCTGAAAACCTTACATTTAGCGGGCTGTGCTATATCAGACGATGGTTTAACTTGCCTCATGTCGTGCCTACACAACCTCAGATCCGTCAATATCATGTACAGTTTGGTGACCCAGCAAAGACTTGAGGAACTCAGGAACACCTACAAGAATTGTGTTATCAGCGATGTTAGACCTGCACAGGGAGATCCGCGAGACTGCACTATATTCTGTTCAAATTAGGAGCTGTGTCTCAGCGTATCAAAGTTGATATGGTTGCTGTGATCCTCATTTTTCTTGAAGCCTGTCTTGAGAACCTTTTCTGCCTCATAACTCTTTTTGAAAGGTGTAATGATTCAGTGACTACCGATGACGTGACGCCGGTGCATTGTAAGCGAGCTATGTATAAAATATATCCCTCGTTTATGTTCTCTTCAAATCGCCATCCCGTAGGATTTCTGAGAATTTTGGTGGTTTCCTGTATACATAGTTTAGTATTGTAGACCAAGGAATTTTCCTGCGCGTTCATTTTTAATAATGATACATTTTAACTGTCTATCGAAAAACATTTTTCAATATTTGGGCATCGTTTGGGGCCTGGACGCGGCTTTTTGCTTTATTTTTACTTAGTAAGTGTTCATCTCAGGGACTAACTTTCCGGCACTCGTATTCATCTTCTGAATGTTGTGTATATTGTCAAGAATCTCTGCCCCGTATTCGCCAAGACTGAAGCGAGTTTCGCATAAAGCAAGCAACACGCTTTATGCCACCTCGACCGAGATATTCCAATTCATAGCACATCACTTAGACCAGCAATAACTGTAACTATCGTTCTGTCGTGTCACAGACGGCATTCCGCAAAAGAGAATTAGGAATAGAAACTTAGGGAGGATTTTTTTTAAGTCGACTCGTGCAAGTGACACCTTACGAGAGCCGCCCAGTTATGAGTGAAGCAGGAGGAAAAATGTCATAGAACAACGAGCATGAATAGCTACAAAAATGCTTTCATTGTTTAATTAGACTTTACAGTAATTGAAATGCTTAGTATATAATTTTTACTGAGAATCTCTCGACTTTATGACACCATTTTCTTTTAATTACGTTAAAGGTCATTTTCGATCATTACCTCGTGCAGGCGAATCACTCGTGAAAGTGCTAAAATATATAAATAATATGCTTCATGATTTTGGCAGTAAGAATTAAGTTTTTAATTTTCATGTTCGCTAATAACTTCGTGCGCGTGCTTGGAAGTCGCGTGTCACTCATTTTTTGTGATAGTTTAGTCATTGATTTGTAGACAGGTATTGGTTTTGGAATCATTACTTACGCAACTTGAATCTAAAGTAAAAAGAGTATTATTGTTATCATCAAACTCAAGTATTTCTATTTGGTGACATTTTCTTCTATTTTTTTCCTGAACATCGTGGCAAATATTGTAATTAATGATTTACAGTAATTTGTATCCAACCTTAGTATCTTTGAAGTCAATTAAGGACCCCCGACATTCTTGAAATTGCATGACACTGTGAATAATTTAAAGAAATGTTATTTGGAGCCGTAGAAAATGATCAAATCATCGTTTTGTTATAGAAATTTGTGGAAAAACAGACGTTTCGTTTCCTTATGGTTATTAAAGCCTGTTTCCAATGTCTGCCGATGGAATGTTGCGCACTTATTTGAAATTCGATTAGGTATCGAAGCTACAAATGATCAAAATTCATTCGTTTACGAACATGATTAGTTTGCAATCGATGGTTAAATGTGAGTACAGGATTTTTGAATTTAATTTAGGGAATATAACTAATTTCTTCGATCATTCAAATATAATTTATACCAATGTAAACCGTGCAGGTATTTAAGAGTCTTTTATTGCTTGCCTGCCTGCCTGCGGAAGAGCGTCCCGTGCTCAGCGTTATGCACGAGTGCGTATGACAGGCTTTATTTTTGGCAATACTGTTAACTCCTTGCTGCTCAACGGTTTCCGCTGATTCCTGTTTATTTGTTAAATTTAAACCGAATTCGTATCCTGCTCTTCTGGCTGCAATAACATTGTCAAAATATTACTCTAGTCTCCCGTCTCTCTCTTTTCTATGACTATACTGAAAGTTTTTTTTCAAAACCTAAAATGAAAACTGAATTGTGTATTGGTCGTCAAATAAATTTTTGGTAAACGTAACCGTTTTCTTTAATCCTTGCTAGTTCTGAGATCTCTAGGTTTGAGTGATGATGTTGTTTAAATCATAATTGAAAACGAAATCCGTAAAACGTTAATTGAGGGAAGAACAAAGGGTGGAGCTACCGCTGTTCCAGTTCCCTGGAGCGTAAGTATACAGTTGTACAGGCAGTCATTTCATATATTCTAACCAGGAAAATATTATTTGTCAAGTCTTCGAAAATAATTACTTAACAAACAATTCTCAAATTTTGTTCTGATCTGATGAAATTTAGGCTTCATTCATAATGGTGGTAACTGCAAATTGCGTCTGATGGAGCAAATACGACCGCAAACAGCCCTCGGAGGTCTTTTAAGTATACATTCCTGCTGATGGGAGAAATACAGTAACGATCATTTCTATGAAGATTTAACCACACATTTACTGTTCATGATTCGTTATTGTGTTTTCTTTACTACCAGCGAAAGTGTGTTGTTATCCAATTTCTCAAGTCAGGCCGTTTTCGTGTTTTTCCTAGGAAAAAAATATGTAGTTACCGACTTAACAAAGCTGGCCGGTGTCGTATTTTACCTATCAGCAAAATCTTGTAGTTAACCGACTTCACAAAGCTGGCCGCTATCGCATTTACCTATCAGCAAAAATGCGTAGTTAACCGACTTCACAAAGCTGGCCGCTATCGCATTTACCTATCAACAAAAATGCGTACTTAACAGACTTCACAAAGCTGGCCGGTATCGTATTTTACCTATCAGCAAAAATGCGTAGTTAACCCACTTCACAAAGCTGGCCGGTATCGTATTTTACCTATCAGCAAAAATGCGTAGTTAACCCACTTCACAAAGCTGGCCGCTATCGCATTTTACCTATCAGCAAAATCTTGTAGTTAACCCACTTCACAAAGCTGGCCGCTATCGCATTTTACCTATCAGCAAAATCTTGTACTTAACAGACTTCACAAAGCTGGCCGCTATCGCATTTTACCTATCAGCAAAATCTTGTAGTTAACAGACTTCACAAAGCTGGCCGGTATCGCTATCGTATGATTGGCAGTCACCCTTTCAGAAATAAAAACAATTTTCAGATTTGTTCCAGATAATTGATCGTTTGCAGGAGGCGAATAGTCGATCGTATATATATGGTGAATAACTAATCATGTGCACGTGGCGAATTAGTGATCACTCGCACGTGGCGAATAATTGATCGTATGCGTATGGCGAATAATTAATCGTGTGCGTATGGCGAATAATTAATCGTGTGCATGTGGCGAATATGTGATCGCTCACACGTGGCGAATAAATGATCGCTTGCCCGTGACGAATAATTAATCGTATGTGTATGGCGAATAATTAATCGTGTGCATGTGGCGAACAAGTGATCGGTAGCATGTGGCGAATAAGTGATCGTTTTCTTGTGCCGAAAAAATTACCTTTATGATTGAAGGAAGATTGGTTGATGAATGTAGAAGTTTTTCCGGGACCCAGACGGTCCCCTTGACTACACATTTTTGCTGATAGGTAAAATGCGATAGCGGCCAGCTTTGTGAAGTGGGTTAACTACGCATTTTTGCTGATAGGTAAAATACGATACCGGCCAGCTTTGTGAAGTGGGTTAACTACGCATTTTTGTTGATAGGTAAAATGCGATAGCGGCCAGCTTTGTGAAGTGGGTTAACTACGCATTTTTGCTGATAGGTAAAATACGATACCGGCCAGCTTTGTGAAGTCGGTTAACTACGCATTTTTGATGATAGGTAAAATACGATATTGGCCAGCTTTGTGAAGCCTGTTAACTACAAAATTTTGCTGATAAGTAAAATGCGATAGCGGCCAGCGGTTAACTACAACTAGCGGTTACTACAAAAACTAACTACAAAATTTTGCTGACGGTAAAATACGATACCGGCCTGCTTTGTGAAGTCAGTTAACTACAAAATCTTGCTGATAAGTAAAATGCGATTGCGGCCAGATTTGTGAAGTCGGTTAACTACAAAATTTTGCTGATAGGTAAAATACGATACCCGCCAGCTTTGTAAAGTCGGTTAACTACAGTCTTTGACGGATAGGAAAAAAACAGTGAAGATCAGCTTTGTTAAACAGCCCAATTACATTCATGCTGGTAGAGAAAGAACTATAGCGATAACCTCTTTGTTGATTTCAGAAGATACAAATTCTGACTAATATACGAAATGAGATCACGTCTAGCTTGATGAAGATGAAACAACAAGATTTCGAATTATGGAAAATTTTGAAGCAAAAGGATAATTCTGAGCCCAGCTGATTAGCAAATTACGACAAACAAATGTCAAATACACACAATTTTTTACCTATTTTTAAACTAAGGCAGTATGTATAAAAAATTTTAAGGTTGATTTTTTAATAGAAGGCCTGTGCGGATATGATAGTTCTAAAGGAATGATTTTGGCAATTACAACTTTTCTATAACTATATATTACAACTAACTACATTTTAATTATTCATGCGAGTACTGCCTATCACATACAAGAAAATCCCGGATACAGAAGAAGACAATAATTACAATAGTGGACTTCCTACTCAAGTAAGTAGACAACTCAGGCTAAACTACCAACATTATCATTAATAACGCAATCAAAGGAAATCTCCGCAATATTCTACAAACATAATTACATGGATGAGAGTATATAAAAACATTTTACTGCTTGGTAATTCGATGCAGAATTTCCCGTCGCTGATGAAAATACACTACTTTAATGCTTGGAATAATATATCTTGCTAGTAAAAAGGCGATTACAAAATTCCAAGCGAATTCTAATACATTGACGAATGAATGTCAATTGTTTATAACATGATTACATAATCTGCAACATTAAAATGCACCTGAATGTCGGTCGTTGGCCTAACATAGTATCATTAATACTGGAAAGACCTAATGATGATGAGATTCAAAAATTAATCCCGGAACTCAGTAATCTTACACTGATATAAGAAAATCATTACCATTTTTCTTTGAGCGAACGAGCTAAGTGACATGAACTGTCGAACTTCAAAACAATGCTTTTCAGTTTTTCTAATTTTGCGATGTGAAGGCGGTGACGTCTGGAAGTTTTACTTCTGTAATAACATTCGCTGATCAATTTGTCCAGCAGATAGTGGAGCCACATCACATTGGTCTTGGGTTCAAATTTATTCCAGTTTTCCCTGAAAGATAGAAATCCCACAGTCACAATTACGATGCAGATTAGTATATGCGCAAGAATCGAGCTTTAAATAATGTAGAGAAGTAAATTCAATTGAATTGCGGTTATCAGTTTCAAAGCGATTAGCGCAATGTTTTTCAGTGACTTTCCGGTCAGATAAAATGAAAACATAATCACTAGAAATTCTTCATGGGATCCTATTTAGTGCTTCAGTTCAAGACTCTTTAGCACCGAATATGCGTATTGCCAAGGTAACAATACCTTATCCTTATCAAAATATTCTCAAAATGCTGCAGAAAGCCTGTGCATTAAAGTGTGCCAGAAAGAAACAGCATTTGCATTTAAGTGGTAATAAAAACAAAAAAATATAACTCAGTACTCACTGCTGTGAGTGACAGAGAGCGCATTTTCTCGTTGACGAAAACTTGAGGTCACGGACGGACGGACAGACAGACGGACAGACAGACGGACATGGCGATCACAATAGTGCATTTTTTCCATAAATGAGAAAATGCGCTAAAAAGTAAACCGCGTGAGAAAACACCAGGCCAGTCATGACACCCCTCATCCGCATCCCTCCGCCTCGGTTTGAAACAACCTAATCACTCAAAAATCTATAAAATTCTGGATGTTGTATGGAATACTTACATCTCCTTTTCCATCACGCACCCCATGCCACGCGCATCCTGCTCAGTCTGGCACCAACTATGGCTTCTCCTGGCAAAGCTACAACAGAAACTAATATTCGTCTACCTTTAATTACGTGGCTCATATTTCATACTTTACTTCTGCCACCGCTACTGCAGCCTTCAAGCCACTCAGAACTGCACTGCACCTGAAGGCAACTCAGAACTGCGCCTTGAGGTTTGCTACAGGCTGGACACAATGGACCAACTACACATTGGGACAATCATCCTGTTCCTGTCCTGAACGTAATTCTGACTTTATTTTATATTATAATATTCAACCCAGCTAGTTTGCATACATTCAAAAAGAACCGAAGAGACGTAATGCAATTAAAGACAGGATACGACTCCACCACTAGACGGGGTACAAGAACGCAGGTGCGAGTTTGTTCATATTTTGTATCGGACGAGGGCATCGCGAGGGCTGATCAAAGGAAACATAAAAGCTTCGCTCGGGCGTGGCGATTTACCGCAGGCTTAAGTAGACTGCTTAATGAAAAATTCCCGCGAAATAGTTGTTTTTCTGTCAAAGCCGTCACGCAAGTACGGTCTGCAGCTAGCTCGGCATACGTAGGTGACGGCCCCGTCTTTTAGCCGGTGGGCGAGAAATAAAGACCGCGCGAAACTTGAGTTATTCGTACAAAAATGATTCTTGCATAAAAGCGTCAGAAATATACACTTACCGGCCATGAATTCACCATATTAATACGGCAATATCAACACTAAGACTCTGACTTGGCCGTGAGACAGCGCGAGAGACAACGAGAAGTTCATCTATTAAAAGCCAGCTGCCAATTTTCACGTGCTTTTCAGACCCAACACCCCTCTACCCAGCTCATCTAAATCATTCCCTAGCATAAAGATTCAAGAAGATTTCCTTTCAGTCTCGTTTTGGGCTTTGCACACGGTCATCTGTGGACGGCTCTTTATAGCTCCCAACATGTTTAGGATGAAACGAGGGACGTGCAGGAGATAAAAGAAAGAACCCTGTTAACATAATTTAACCTGCGACATGCAGTCAGATACCACGAGCGCGTCGCAGACAGGCATTGACAATGAGAACGTCAGCCTCACAGAACTCACGACGAAATACACGTCAAGCCTTTTGCGGCATCAACACGGTTTAAAAACATTTGCAAATATTTTTAATACACTTGACTTAACGTGCCATACGGTTGAAAGTAGCCGAATAAAGAGGCAACTTACGTGGACAATTTTCTACGAATCGATACGTACGAGTAGGTATATCTCACCCGACGACGTCTCTCATGGCGCGATAAATGTCAAACTGGTAGTCGCCCTCGCCCTTGAACACATCGGGGTCCTTGCAGAGGTCGTTGAATACAACCGAAGACTCAGAGTGTCGCAGCCGAGACATCGTGAAGTCTATGATTGTGGCACGCACGCCCTGGAAAATCATTTCACGAAATTTTTCACCACTGCTTAGAGTATCTAGGGAAACAATTTTCAACAGTTTCAAAGCTTGGTATTACACCAAGTCGAGAGGACTAAGCCAAAACTATATAGCTCTAAAATGTGAGGGGTGGAGAAACAGACATCGACCACGATAACACTATTATTCTGACGGTAAAGGTGCTTATAAACGGGGCGATTAGTTGAGTCAACTACAGTGTTGCAGGCTGAGAGCCTATACACGAGGATAGTGTTTTCAGTTCAGTGCGCCAGCGCCAGTGCGACGTTGAGAGTTGTCGAGTAAGGGTGTGCGTGGTGGAGGCTAGCGAAAGCTCGCCAGCTGTGTGTGCTACAGTGGGCAGGAGAAAGAGCGGCGCAGCTGTACTCTGTATGAAGGAAGAGCCGCTACTGGCCCAGTATGGCTACTGGGCACACTCGACTGCTTCCAAACAACTCGAGTTGCTCTGCGTGCAATGCACCAGCTAGTTGCCTCTGAACACGTCAATCATCACAAATTTTAGTTGCGTTGACTAGTCGACGCAACTATTCGCCTCGTGTATAAGCACCTTAAGATAGTTAAAACTTTATGCATTATCCGGTTATTGGACGCATTTCAATACTTATATTTTTACACAGCTTTTCTAATTTTCCTCAACAGTATAACGCAAATTTAAAATTAGGACAATTTAAATTCTATATTGATGATATTAATCCTAAATTTCTTGGGCAAAATACTAGAGAACGGGAAAATGCAGAGCAGCATTCATAAAAGGAGTACAAGCTCCCAGTTACTCGGGAAGGAAATCGTTTAAGTACACACGTGCGTAGGTAGCATAATTTGTTCTCCCTCGAAAGTGCAAGAACAAGAGGTGTCAGTGGTTGCCTCAACCAAGATGTTGCCGAAGTGCAGATCGCGATGCTCGAACTCAAATCTCTTCTCAGCCACTGCTAAGCCGTATGTCACCTATCAAGAATACAATGCATTAACTAGGCTACATATCGATTTAAAAGAAAAACTTAGAATGTTTTAATTATTATTTTCCAGGTTTCCGACTACACGAATCACTTTCGGTGGAATTAGAAATATATCAATGGAGGAGCAAGTGATTACATGCCACACAAAAGTCACACCTGCCAGAAGAGTGCCAGCGCCTGCGCAGCGTCAGAGAAGACGTAGCTCTCCAAGTCTTGCCCCGCGTGGCCAAACTCGAGCACAACGTGCAGCTGGTCGCGAGGGTACATGTCTGGCCTGTCGTTCTCAGACTCTGGATAATCGTCCAACAATAAGTTCATGAAATTAGCAAAGCTGCAGCAATTACAGAACAGGGTTGGAAGTTAAAATTAAGAAAAGCTAAATCAATTTAGGAATGCTAACACATAAAAGACGAATAATCTACGCTATCCACAGCTTCTTGCGCAAAAAGTAACATGAAATTAAATGCTGCTTGAACCTGCACAGCGCAGCTAATCACATCATAAAAAGTTACTTAGTTTTGGCTCATTTGCATTTTGAATTACTTTTCCACTAAAGTTTCTAGTTTGTTAAAATTGTTCTTTTTTTAAACGTTCAGATTAACGATGACGGCATCAATCTGCTATATCGTGCTGAACACAAAAAAAAAAACTTGCATATTCTCAATGAAACTTAACCAGTTGAAAAAATTTCGGCTTTCGCTCAAATTAAGTCTATCTATTAATAATTTTAACAAAATGAATCCAGGTTTCTCTGCAAATAATGCTTGGCGAGTGATTAGTTACGCACGTTTTTCCTGATCGAATTTGTCCCAGAGTGCGATCATTCGCGGCGTGTAGCTGCCTTGTACACACCAGCAACGCAGCACATGGACGAAGCAGCTGCAACTGTCATGGTGTCCTTGCATCCTCAATTCGCTCAGTTTACTGGCAAATAGCAATTAGTCACAATTTTATGGCTTTATCTCATGTGCATTACATTTAGGTCATTTATTCTCCAGCTTTAAAATTTAGATTAATTATTCACCAGAAAACTCAGCAGAAAATACTAAAAAATAATGAATTTCAACTACACAAGACATCTAAAAACGCATCTAGGATCGCAAAATCTTTTTCAGAGACTTGCCCGAGAGTTCTCAACTAACATACACCTAAGGAATAATTCGTTGATGCTTGCGAACATGATGACGTTCTACAATAACAAAATCAAACTAAAAACTACCTATGTCATATATCTGTATTTAAAATATATTGGAAAACACGGTATTCTAGAACTTATAATTTACATTGAGATAAGGATCTCGGAGAAGATTTCATCAAAAGTTTTTTGCACTTCATCATTGACACGGAAGTTGCCTTCGATAGGCATGATCTTGAAGACCTTGCGCCTGCCTTCCTGCACCGACATGAACACCTCCCCGTAGGCGCCTTCTCCAATCTTCTTGAGATCTCTCATTACGCTGCACCACACAGAATCGCGTCAGTAAAACACAAACATTTTCTCGTCTACTTTTTAAATGCCAACATCAAGTAGAAGTCAGAGTAGAGTTTCATAAGAGAATTGCTGGATATTTGGTACTAAAAGTTTCATTCTAGGTCTGGGAGGAACAATTTACTGCTTTTCTAGCACAACCCCAGCATTAAACAAGTCAAAGATTACCAAATTCAGCAATTTTACTGCATTATTTCAAAATATGTTTCCTAAGATGGGAATCTATATATTAAAATCGGCTCGGGCCTCTGAGAAAGCCCAAATACGTAAAACAAGACTCCTCAGCTCGTGTTACGGATACACCAAGTAATTAATTATAAAATGTGAGCATGACGAGAGCTTAATATAGTGTATAATTCTCTCATCATTCAAGTTTAACGAGACCTTGGAGTGAAGCAGCGGGTGATAGGAACGACGTCTGTCTGCCCACAAAGCTCAAGCACGCGCTCCTTCGCAGTCATCGAGTAGGCAGCTTCTCTGTCATCTTCGAAGACGGGCAACAAGTCGTCCGCTCCTGTCTCATCCAATACTCTAGGAACAGCACAAAATGAGCATTGAAACTGATGTTTTCATTATAATTCATGATCAAAGTTTAGCGTAAGACTGAATATTCAATGCAGTCAAAGTTGCTACCTCTAGCTTGAACTGCACCGTAACCAAATATTAGATGGGAATATCAACAGAGAATAAATAAGAAATAGCGGTTTTGTGAATTTCAGGACCACGAACAATAATGAAGCACTAGCCTTGATAGAAATGTAGAAATGTACATGATTCTGACAATGAATATGACATCATATGCGTGGGAAAACACTGTAAAAATACAACACTTAGCCTACCTCTGGCACACATCAGTGGTGGCTGCAGTAGCAGGGATCACGCTGCTCATACATAATGAAGAGCGACGATTCCTCATCACACTTGCGTCTGGAAACGTGTAAGCATATATTGACTATCAGTGAATTTATGACAATGTACTAAATATTTCACTAATTTAGACCTGATTGTACTTTTTTGTAGTATCGTGTGTATTGTGTTATGTTGTTAAAGATAAGACAATACAACCTGTACCTGTTAAACACAATACTGCAACCATTTGATAATGATAGATAGTGAGGTGGTCACCTAAAAGCCTGAATGAGAGTACTTGATGCTTCAAAGGAGCGCCAACCTGAGAAAATGTGCAAGCGAAACACTTTTTTTTCTATCGCATAATAATGAGTCAGAATAAAGCCCAAGACTTAATATTACAGTAGGAAATAAACAAGTAAAGCTATGCTGCCGCAGAAAATTCTGATTTTGGCTGATGGTCTCCGTCTTATGAACACGAGAACCTCCCGATTTAAGAGGAGCGTTTATGAAGTCAGAAGTGCAAATCAATCTGCTTATGGTGATTTAGATACCGTAGCTTGTCATATTCGCTTCTTACATAAAGACTTACTTAGCATCAAGCTAAAAAAAATATTAGTTTAAAATTGTCAGTACTTGAAGGTAATCTATAAAAAAAAATTATTCACAGGAAAATTCATGGCCCTCAAATGTGAGGCAGATTACGTTAGCATTCATTTTTATCATACTTTTTAATGATTAAATTAAAATTGCTATATTGGACTTCATGATGCAAGTTACTTACCGCTTCGTCTTTCATACATCTGGCTCTGACAGCTGGCACCCATAGACGTCTGTTGAAGAAATAGATAATCAAGTTATATTCAGGATCAAATTCTAGAAACACAACTTCATAGCTAATATATACGATGGAGAAATAAGAAATTGGAGATCCATTCATGGTAGAAAAAAGCACAATCATCATCCACTTCGAGCTTACGATGTCACTAGTCTGCCTGCATTTAATCTATTTAACAGTTGGCTGTTCATCAGTAGCCACAATTAATACAGACGCAAAATGAAAATTATTTGGAGGCAGGCTATTCACAACCGCGAGACACATTTCAAAATATCAGGTTTGTGATAAAAGTATATTGAAAAGAGAAACTCACCCTGGGAATGCAGTCACTGAAGCGATCCTGAATAAAAAGTGATCGGCGCCAACCTTTGCCTCGCTTGGCGGGCACAAGTCCGCCTGCCAGTTCGGGCTGTGCGACGTCTCCATCACCAGGCATTGCCGTTAATGATCTTCGGTTCTCATGTAATACTAGCGCATTTTCTTGTTCAGAAAATGAAGTTTGATGATCTAAATTCAGGTGCTTTATACGATCTAAGACTAGGCAGTCGTTAACGTAAGATTCGGATTCTTGTTGAACTTTTAAAGATGAAGCAGAGCTCACTATTGCACGGATTGGAGAATCGGCCTTTGAAGAGCATGGTTCTTGAGAGCGACAGAGATGTGTATTCACGCTAACGGGAAAATTTCTGTCCAGAGACGCATTCACCTTCTGACCCTCAGAAACTGAATTTTGGATCACATGTGCACTTCTAAATGATATTTCAGTCGCTTCCATTTGAACAGGAAGAGGAGAAATCACTTCACAGGAGGATGCGTGATGAGAAGCTGAATTCTCTACTAACGGTTCACAATGTGATTCTCTGTGAGAATTGGACAAGCAATTGGTCGTCTCTGAGTAGCCCGTAGTTTTCAATTCCAGATCTATTGCACATTTAATATCACCAACATCTTGTTTATTCAAAGACGACTCGATAGCTGTGTCAGGGCATACAGCTGACACCGCACCTTTCTCCTGACAGGTAATGTTTACAAGGGGCATGGCTTTACCGAGCACGTCAGCCGGAATAAGTGAGCGGATATCGCGTCGTCTCCTTCTTCTACTGCTGAATACAAACGAAGTTTCTACATTGAAAGAAGGAAGCATAGAAATGCGTGCCTGTTTCTGTCTACGAGTTAGCACAGGCGATGGGGCGCTACAGCGCAGAGCATCGCAGTAAAATGAACTTCGTAATTCATGCTCATGAAAATTTTGTGGATTGCCATCAACAACCAAAAGGGATTTTTTCATCGAACATTGTTTGTCATTTGTTCTATTGTTCACGTTTGAAACATTTATTGGAGGAATAAAGGCGTCTATTGTAATAGTTGGGTTACGTCGACGTCGCGTACTTCGCAGAAATAGAGATATGGCTTCAGGTTCAGTGTCTTCATCAGTGCATGCTGATAGTTCCACGTTTTCCAGATGAGAATCGGCTTTCGCTCCATTTTCTATAAGTCTTTTAGGCTCGTTTGTCATACTTGCAGCACAGTTCTGTTTGTTTGATTTATTAGGAATGGCAATAAGCGGACTGCAAATTTGAATGTCTGATGCTGTCCCTGAACGGTTTGGTTTACCTGGAGGATTAAAAGGCATGGAAATGTTGGCCAAAGCTAGGTTATTTGTAACCTCTTCTATACTGAGATTAATCTTTTTCTTATTGACATCATCTTGTACGAACAAAGGAGACTCAGATAACGTAGAATCTTGGAAGACGATATCATCAAACGAGGTTTCTCTCAACACGGGAGACAACTTGCTGGGAGTAATTCTAGAAGCAACAGGTGTAATCTTTTTCCGTAAACCGGTCCGAGAGAGTTTACCATGAGAAATAGAAGGCGTGCTGGTGAGACGGTTTCGGAAGAAGTCTGGTGAACAGGAAGGATCAGTAATTATATTTCTATAACAGACAGGATGTGGCATTCCTTGCTTGATAAGTGACTTTTTTTCAGTCTGAAAACATGACTTTTGCTCCTCCGGGCGATCATTTCCATTGCCACTGATATTATTATCATGGTTGCCATGAGCAGAGTTGAGTTGCGGTGACGCATCTATGACGCGCTGGATCAATCTCAACTCAACAAGTTGGTCGTTGGCCCGATCAGCAGTCTTGCTCTCAGTTGCCATACGCCGTCTACAGCGCTGGCTAGCAAGCACCCCTCCAATATTTCGTTTAGCTGAGCTTGATCCCTGGCAATGAGTGCGAAGTGTTCTCTGCGTTTGTCGGTAGCGCATCGGCAAGTTGGGAGTCTTGCAGTCGAATGAGGCACCATTGTGGGCAACAGAATAGGGAGTTAATGAAACATTTTTGGATTCCTGAACCACACTGTCATTTTGTCCAGTAGTACATTTAGGAACTTGAGGCTTTTTTATACTTGCTTTCACTCCATTGCATTTTTTCTTTTTGTTGGCTTTTTGAGCATAATTTTTTCCAGCAACATTAGGAACTCGGACTGCAGCAGATGGCTTCTTAGAACGAAATGGTGTCAATGCTTTGGTCTTGTCCGGATTATCATACAAATCTGGTAACAGAACGTAATACCATTAAAGATTAAATATGGTCATGTTAATAGGCTGTTATGACAAAAGAAGTCAATGTAAAAACAATGCATAAAAATTGTTAGTTAATTTGCTTATTTCATTTCATTTTCTTTGGTAAAAAAAAATAATTAGCTGTTAGATTGAGTTTAATACATAATTTTGTTGGTCAGGGGTTTGACTGAAATTTTTTAGACTTGGCTGAAATAAAAACGATGCAGTTGATTGAATTCAGGAATCATTGGAATAAGTTTTATATAAAGATAAGTTATAAAAAAACTCACTACAGTCCAGTAGTTTGAAGCCACTTTGAAAATAACAATCAATAGCTTGATATAGTTGAATTAGTCTTTCTATAAATTGGGTAAAAGATATTAGTAGTTTGATTAAAAATTCCAATACAGTTTTTAATTTTTTTTAAGAAGAAATGATTCAAGACAGTATTGAAATGCCATGAGTATCTCAAGTCAAAGTCTAGCAATCCAGACTGGAATCCTTGTAAGGTCATCAATTTTTACTCAATAACTTCAAGAACGTGCAGAAATCCTGCCATTTTGCCTCCCATTGTTGGGGGGGATTGTGATTTGGCTATCTGCGCAACATGCAATTATTGCAACATCTAATTATTGTACAAATAACCACGTTGCAAGTTCATTTAAAACTTAAAAAAATGTATAAATGTGAGTTGAACTATTTTTTATTACCTTTCATTTAGGCAGCCAGGAGCAATATCTAAGGCATTATGTTGTAAAGCATCAAATAAAAGTGCAGCCAGATCTTGTGTGTAAGTGTGCTTTCATGCCTTGCCTTTACGTGCCTCTTTGTCCTTAATACTTGTTACATTATTGCTAGTGTTTGATACTCAATTACACATACCGGTATGACATTTTCTACCATCTTCATATATAACTAGTGATTGTTCTTCTGTACAGTCGAAACTAGACTGTGTAAGATCAATTAAGTTAGTAAAGTCTGTACTTCAAGTCTTATTTTCCTTTTTTCAACATCAATCAGAAAATAACTTTAGTTCTCTCCGTTCCAAAGTCGCCAATTTAAATTAGACAAGAATTTTGTCCACGCCACATTGACACACAAGAAACAACCTGTGCTGCCATATATTGTAACAGAAAATATATCTGAGCTTGCATTGCCATACTTGGTGAACTTTTAAAAAGTTGCTGTTACAATTGCATTCTCATTAGTGAACATTACCTGTGCATTTTTCGGAGCAGCATGCATAATTTGACATAATCATATTGCACCAACCAGAAGAGCAGAGAGCCAGGGAGACATAGAGAGGGCCAGCATTGTCAGAAGAGGTGAGTTCAGACCGCACAGATGAGGTCTCATTAATAGAATGGGATGTTCCACCATTCAAGTCTCTTACAGGAGCACACAATTGGTTTCTGTACAAATAAAGTAAATGTAGCTATTACTGTTATGTATACTAAAAAACATTCATATTTTGAGTGACACATATCAATAAGAATCTATTTTTCACATTTGAGAATTTCAATTTTGAGAATTGGACAACAAGTTCAACTAGAAGTGCCACAAAATCATAAAATAATACAAAAGAAAAAAAAACTGGTGACAACAGTTTGAACACTTCAGGGGTTCCTTGTAGCAGGCTTCCAGATAATTTGCCACATACCGGTACCTGGAGCCTAACTGAGGAAAATTGTCTAGAGGGGTAAAACCTATACAGTTTTAAAAGAATTGGATATTGAAAAAATAATTGAAAAGGGAGCAAGAAGATCTATGCTTAATACTTTGATTAAGGGAGCATTAGCAAAAATAAAAAATCTCGGATGGAAACTTCAAACTTCTTCATATTTAATTGTGAGACCAAACTCAATGACTCATCCATTAATAACCTCACCAACTTTGCATATGTGGGGCATCAATATTCTTCAACATTTGACCTGCACACCAGCTCAAATGAACAAAGCACCCACAAATTAAATCTTCAGCAACTTATTTTATGGCTTTAAGAGAATTGTACCTTAAATATATGTGCAACCTAATGTTTAGCAGCTTGATCACTCAAGTTTCAAGTATACCATAACTGACAGAATTAAAAATCATCCCAACAGAATAACAATGTTCAAATATTGGGTTATCACCAATCAACATTATAAATCTAATTATTTTTAATTTATTATAACTATCATTTTGTCCAATCTTACCAACCTCACATGGCTATTAAGATCTGATGTTGTCTTTACTTCCTTGCAAAAAACTGGCCTGGTTTGTTTTATGCATTTGTGTTGTCATCGATTGCATTTGAGAACAATTTACCCACATTGATTAATGGAAAAAGCTTTTAAAATTTTCTATTTACTTCTAACTATTTGTATGATTTCACTTGCATTACCAGTCAAGTTTAGTAACCCAAATTTCAATCTAATTAGTTTCTGGTTATTTTAATGTTTATCTTAAACTATTCTCTTAATAAAGTTTTCCAATTCATGAGTACATGATGCAGTTAAATTCAGTTATCTCATTCCATGGTGGTTAACTGTAATTTCTGATCTATGTCATTATATTTTATACTGTTGGATGACATCCAAGTTTGGCTTCTGTGATTGCTAGTTGATTCCTAAATAATTTTAATTTATAGTTGTCATTTGACGTTTATGAAATCAACTATAAAGGGTTCAGTCAAGAAATGTAGCACCATAATAGAAAATAGGAGAATACCAATTTAAATCATTCACTTGTAACTTTGATATTGAAAACTATTTACCTGCTTAAAAGAAATACCATAAAAAACAGACTTGACTAAACAACTATTTAAACACAATAATATGTTTTTTTAATAAATCACAAATCACGGCTAGGCATCAAAATTGTTAATATTATACAGATACTTCAACATACCGGTTATTTTTCAAGAGGTAATCAAAAGTGTCATTGGCCATGAAAGAGTTGGAATTGCCCAGTATACTGGAACCAGCCAGTGGGGCAAGAGGAGGCCTGGACGCTTGCCGAGCAGCATCCTGGGAAATAAGGAACTGATAAAATACTGCATTTTAATAAGCCTTGCAACCACTTTGAAATGACATTTATGAAACAAGTCATAATTGTAAAATGTAGATAAGATCATTGAAAGCTCTTCTAGAAAATTTTGCAGTTATTTATATGAAAATCTTAATAGTTTTTTGCAAAGCAAATCATAGCATGAAAAAAATATTTTTCTATAATCCAGATTATATCTCATTTTCTGATCTACTTCAAGATTTGGGTATGTATCAATGGGTTCTGATCTACTTTTAATACTTTAGGTATCCATCTATTTATTGGACTTGATAAAGAGAATTAGCAAAAAGGCTCTTGATTGCCACTAAGTTACAGAGGAATGATTAGTTTGACAATCACTTTACAAAAAATGTTTATGCATACCTTGACATCCATGAATAAGTCATCAAATAGGCTGGGTTCATTTTCTTTGACACCAATGAACAGATCAGAGAATCGCTTTGGAGGCTGGCGTCGCACTTTAGTCTTCTTGGCTGTATCTTGTCCATCATTCTGCTTATTTTTACCTTTGTATTGCAGGCTGGGACCTGAGCAACTCTGTGATGTTGTCTTGACTGAGCCATCTTTTTTACATTTTGTGCTTTGCTTCCTAGTGCCCCTCGCCATTTAATTCAACTACAAAAAAGTTTTTCCATATAATCACCAAATAATAATTCCTAATAATTTAAAAAATAAACAATTATGTTAACAAATAAGAACCCATATAATTTAAAGATGAGGCTGCTTCACATGAAATTTTCATTATTAAGCAATTTTGTCATTACAATTTCTTCCTCAACATCTTCTTGGTCAGTGCCAATCTGGAATATTGGACAAATTTTTCAAAAACAATTGCAGCTAAAAATGATCATTTCACAGGTGACTTTTGAAAATGTTAACAAAAAAGTACCATTTATTTAACTCTTACCTAATTAAATACAGCAATGGCCATGAGTATGTGTGAAATTATTTGCAAGCACAGGCATATTGTTGAATTCATTGGTGGTTTTTACCCAATTTCCCAATTTGGAGCTGATGTGCCAAGTAGCATTAAAATGAAAGGTCACATGCTATTTACATACATTTCCAGCAAATTTCATTAGAAGAGTTGCTTATTTGTACCTATTTGATTGGGCACCTGATTTCATTTTGCTTCAATTACAGGTATTATTAAGGTTGCCTTCTCACAATATAAAGGTATTATTAAGGATGCAAGGGTAATACTCTTTCAGGGGCCACAATGGGAAGATGAATACAAATAAAGGCTTTGTTGCAGAAGAATTGTACAAGCAATATGATTGAAAATTGCACAAAGAAAGCAAATAAGCCCAAAGCTAAAAATTAATTTAAAGATTTATTCTTGATCTAATGTTAATGATAAGACAATCTTCAATAGAGATAAGGCTCAACTTGCATTTCATATTATTTCACCAAACATCTAAGTAGTACTGTCAAACGGGGTAATAAGGGACAGGCGGGGTATATCGGGATGCGCGTCCCACATTTTGTAGAACTATTGTAGCAGCAAAACTAATCAAAATATTACAAAACTAAAAATAGTGGTGTAAACTTCAACAATTTTACTATCTATTATGTATAAAGCTACCATCAACCGGGGCTACTCGGGACAGGCTTCCGACATGGCGTAAAACTGTTGTAGTAGCAAAACTAATTGGAATATTGCAAAACTAAAAATAGTGGCATAAACGTCAACATTTTTCCTATCTATGTAGTATAAAGGAAGTCGAAAAATACTACATTTACTTGCTTTGAAAAATTCCTGAAAAAAATGGTGAAAAACTATATTTCGTAAAGTTACAACAGCTAAGGTATGTTGCAAAAAAAATATTCGCCGTATTAAAAAATTTTACTTACGTAAAAGTTGCACCCAGGTGTTGGCTTGAAAACGTAATTGACAGAATTTGCCTATCTCATTCCAAAAAGAAATGGCAGCCATTTCCACACAGCGGGGCTACTCAGGACACCCCTCTGGGGCTATTCAGGACACCCCCAAAAACGCATTTACGGTAGAACCTCAGTTAGCAAAGGCTCCAATTACAAAAAAAAATTGATTAAAAACAAAGAATATTGATCACATTTTCCTTGCTCAGCGAAAAAAATTTCACTTATCAAAAAATTAGTGCATCATCGGTCATCACAAAATTGTGCATAGCATGTCATGTATAGAATTGTGCACCAGGCATCATAGAATGAAAAGTAATTGACCTAAACTATGATTTATTTCTCCAAAAGATAGGTACGGTACGTTGGTTGTCACTGAAATATTCCTTTCTGTTTCAGGTATGTTTTTCATGGTCTTTTTTACTATAGTAAATTCACTTAACCCAATTAAAATGATGTGAAATTACGAGCCGTCCTGTAAGCTTACAGATACGAAATAAAGGCTATAAGGCTGCTGATATGAAGCTTGCAGTGGACAAGGTTGTTGTAAATGCTCAATGGCATGTTCATGGATACGGTAATATCGCATCAATAATACGATAATTGCACATCAATAATACGGTAATTAACCCATTAATGACGAGCGGTTCCATTTGGAACCAGCGGAAAAAAATGGATTCATAATAAAATTGTATGGTCAAATCAATATGCTAGTGGATGCGTAGGTTTGATCCACATCTTGGATGTGTTCTGGCAACGTTTGGTTCTGCTGCACCGACTACTCCCTGCTCAGTTAACTTTAAAAGATTGTAAGTACTGGGGGTCAGACAGGAGGGCTTGACATCATTGCAGAGAAACGTAAGTAGTTCGTCCTAAAAATATATTATTTATAAGTTAGATGCAGAATTTTATCGATAAAGAGAGTACTTTTAATTCTGTATATGGTATTACGTGATATAATGTTCCTAAAAGTCTTTTAGATCATGAAATATTTTGTCTGGTTCCAAATGGAACCGCTCGACAGTAGTGTAAGCATTCCGGTCATCTCACTTTCCCAGTAGATTTTTTTGTGATATAGTTACGCATTCTATTTCAAAAACTTGTTTGTACTTAGAAATGATTTATTTAGATCTTAGATCAACAGTCTTTCTGTTATTTGTTAGTGAACTATTATCTTTAGAGCTGTTAGGAATATATATCCCGAAAGTTGAAATATTTGGAAGTAGGTACGTTGAACACTATACAATTGTTCATCCCGAGTCACTTTTTTTCTAATTGTATTTTGGCAGATCATCACATGAAATAATTGAGATTTCGAGAGAAGAATATTACGAAGATAAAATATTTGCTACTGAACCTTTCACAGAAGCAGCAACAAACCAAACATACTGAGATTCAGATAACTTAGATGACGCAGCCACTAGCAATTTTGCTCGCCTATCGAGAATAGTCATTGCAGTAACAGTAATCACCAAATGTGAAAACAATGACTTTCGATAGAGAAGAAAGTCAACTGTGGTCATATACTACGACATATACGAGGCTAGCCAGCGAGATTTAGTTATAAACTTTGGGCAGCAGATAAATCAGATGATATTTTTCTGCAATTGAAGCCAATCGGAGGATCTAATAGAAAAAGAAACTTATTCATGGGCTGGAACATGGATTGGTCCCATAAACATGATACAATTGGTCCCAAGCCAACATGTTATATGTGATATCTATTCTTGTTTCATTTGGCTTCTCAAAAAACGTTTGAAAAAAAAAAAGAATGGCTAGTGCAATAAATTTTCAAAAAGATCAGTTAGGAAATGCAATAATGCAGGAGACCCTAAATAAAACAATCAGGGTCTATAGTGCACCCTTCAACTTCGATCCTTGATGAAGTGCAATACAACAATCAACAACATTGGCCAGCAAAGAGACATCAGAAGCACTGCAAATGCAGTGCTTCGTAAACAATGTTGAGAACGCACCCACAAACATTCGTAAAATGGAAAACCTTTCTATTCATTCTGAATGAATGGAAGCATTCTATGCTAAAAATTAAATTGTATTCTGCCATGATTGATTTATCATCAGTATTGTCCATTATGAATAAGTATTATCCATTATGCATAACCTTGCTTGATTTACTATCGGAAAAAGTGTTGTTTGAAGAAACGTTACGTTAATGCCGAGCGGTTCCATATGGAACCAAGCTATAATTTTTCACATACAACGAAAAATAAATATATGAACATATTTTTTGTTTATTACCATCACAAATGATAATATTCTCACAAGGAACCAAAAAAAATTCAGTAAATAATTCTCGTCATTAATGGGTTGATGTATATGGCAATATCATATCAATAAAGGAAAAACAAGTAAAAATCACAGAAAATGTCATTTATTCTACCTCTACATCATCTACAATGAAAGAGGAGGACTTCAGAGTACTGTTAGTAATGGATGAGTACGCTCTGCATGCTTCAAATGTTTTGAAATGAAGTTTTATTCCCATTGTCCCGAGTAGCCCTGACTGACGGGGCTACTCGGGACAATCTTTATTTTGCATCTGGCACATTACAAATAGCATATGGAATTTTTTTGACAATGCCATTCAATAACCCTTGCAAAGAGCTATAAAATGAGCCTAAATTTGTTTATGAAATGTTTCATCGTAAGAAGTTATTAACAGTTATTAACAAAAAAACGATCAAATCTGTCCCGAGTAGCCCTGGTTGACGGTAATTAAGAAATCACACATTAACAATCTCTAAAAAATTGCTGAAAAAAGTGTCAAAAGTGAGATTTTGGAAGAGTACCTCTACCAAGGTCTGGAGCAAAAAAAATATTTGCCATAATAAAAAATTTTACTCGCATAAAAGTTTCACACAGGTGTTGGCTGGAAAATGCGATTGACGGAATTTGCCTATCTCATTCCCAAAAAATATGGCAGCAATTTCCGCACAATGGGGTAATAAGGGACACCACTTGGGGTAATAAGGGACACCCTTAAAAATGCATTTGCAGTAGAACCTCAGTTAGCAATGGCTCCAGTTAACAAAAAAATTGATTAACAACAAAGAATATTGATTACATTTACCTTGCTCAGCGAAAAAAATTTCACATATCAAAAAATTAGTGCATCATCGGTCATCACAAAATTGTGCGTAGAATGTCATATATAGAATTGTGCACTGGGCATCATTGAATGAAAAGTAATTGACCTAAACTATGATGTATTTCTCCAAAACATATGATGGTTGTCACTAAAACATTCCTTTCTGTTTCAGGTATGTTTTTTACAATCTTTTTTATGGTGAATTCACTTAACCCAATTAAAATGGTATGAAATCACAAGCCATCCTGTAAGCTTACAGATAAAGAAATGCTATACAGCTGCTGATATGAAGCTTGCAGTGGACAAGGTAGCTGTAAATGCTCAATGGCATGTTCATGGATATGGTAATATCACATCAATAATATGGTAATTAATGAATATGGTAATATCATATTAATAAAGGAAAAACAAGTAAAAATCACAGAAAATGTCATTTATTCTACCTCTACATCATCTATAATGAAAGAGGAGGAGGACTTCAGAGTACTGTTAGTAATGGATGAGTATACTCTGCAATCTGCATGCTTCAAGCGTTTTAAAATTAGGTTTTTTGCAAGTGTCCAGGATTACCCATTCCTAGGGTAATTTGGGATGCTTTTACTTTGCGTCTGGAACCTCACGTATAGCATATAGAATTTTTTGAAGATGCCATTCCATAGCCCTTGCAAAGAACTTTAAAAGGAGCCCAAACTCGTTTCTGAAAAGTTTCATGTTAGGAAGTTATTAACAAAAGATGCTCAAAACTGTCCCTTATTACTACGTTTGACGGTACTCATTAATCAATCAAGGTTGGGAACCATTGGCATTGCT